CTTCTGGCTGGTGAGGACGAGCGTCCTGCATATTCCTACATCTTCCCAGAGTCCTTTGGGGCCGTTACTGGGGAGCTAAACCATGCAGTGCACAAGCTGTTTATAGACTTGTACAATGATTGGATGCCTTCATTTCTCATATTTTCATTGTCACAATTAAAGTAATGAAAATAAGTGGCCTTTACTCATATTATTGATACCTGATGAAAAACAAGTTTGGGGTCAAAGTTAAAAACATTTAAAGGGAGTGTTGTGAATATTTGGGAAGTAGTAATTAAATGTAAAACAGTAGAAAAAAACTCGTCATTTATTGCTGGTTAGTAATTTTCTTTGCTTAGGGCTGCTGCTATGGTTTTGGGGGTTTTTTGTGTTGTTTTTTTGCCCCTATTGATTAATCAGATGTTGCATTCCTGAGTGTTTGTCTATGAAGTGTCTAAAATGGAGCTATGACCGTCACATTTTTCTGTGCCTAAAGCCAAATCTGCAAATGGCTTTTGCCTAATCAACAGTCTGAAACCAAGAGTCATTTAATTTACATTTCAACTTATTAAAACAGAAAAGCAACAATTTCTCACTGCTTCAGAATCTATACCCAGCAAGTGTTTGGCATTTTTGGAGAGACTTGACCTGTATGTAACCAGAGCTCCTCTTTATTATTTTTGGCTGTTTGAATTCTAATTCAATCAGCTGGTGTCATCAAGGCTCCTTTAAACACAGATCCCAGAAGTTTGTTTTTTAGGCAGCATGAATGTTGAGTGGTAATGTCTTCGACTCTTTCCTCAGCCGTACTCTGACTGCGGTCCATGACGCCATCTTGGAGGACCTGGTGTTCCCCAGCGAGATCGTGGGTAAGAGGATCAGAGTCAAACTGGACAGCAGCAGGCTCATCAAGGTCCACTTGGACAAGGCGCAGCAGAACAACGTCGAACACAAAGTAAGTTCTCTAAAGGGTGGCGAAGATCTGGCTAGATGTTTGGATAATGGGATTAATTATTTTTACCGATTTAATATTTAAGTTATATTTGAATGGATCGTTAAAGCATCTCAAAAATATGAAAGAACATGATGTCTTTAAACTTCTCATTTTGTTCAACATATCAGGCACACCATCATGTAAGACCTAAAAATCAGCATGTTTTTAAACTGAACCATAACACAGTTCAAATTTTCCATAAACTGATTTAATTGAACAGTTGATTCATGAAATGGTACAGCTCCACTCATGTTCATCAGTTTATATTTGATAAAAATCAACAATAACAATCAGACATCAGTCAATTCAACTTGTGACAGTTTTGGAAGCAGAACAATTAGATGAGAACTTCTTTCACAATCTCCCTCTAACCGGAGAACAGATGTGGATTCTGTTAGTTTTTGTCCGACGTGGACATCCAGCGAGTTGCTCTCCTGGCTCTGTCCTGGTGGCGTATGGGAGCGTAGCTCTGAGCCAAGACGTACAGTCCCGTTCCACATCGTTGGAGACAAAGTTCTGTCCCCGGCTTCTGGCTGGTGAGGACGAGCGTCCTGCATATTCCTACATCTTCCCAGAGTCCTTTGGGGCCGTTACTGGGGAGCTAAACCATGCAGTGCACAAATGTTGAGTCACAGATGCTGGTTTCTTGTGGTTCTCAACGGAATATGGAAAAATGTGAAATTTGTATAATAGACAAAAAAAGTTTTATGTCAAAAGAAAAATGTATGAAGGTGTTTAACTGCAGCCCAAGTCTAAATTCTGTTTGTCTGCTCTTGTTTCAGGTGGAAACCTTCTCTGGTGTCTACAAGAAGCTCACAGGCAAAGACGTCGTGTTTGAATTCCCAGAATTCCAGCTGTGAATGCAGATGACAAAATAAATTTGTTTACTGTCAGTATTGGACTGCTGTTTTTTTTTTGTTTGTTTGTTTGTTAGGTCATCTGGAAATTTTGAGACCAAACTCAGTATTTGGCTGTGTATCTTCAATCTGCTCCACTTTCAGACCAGAACCTAGTCCATGCGTAATGCAATGATGTTTAACGACCTTCACAATTGTGTTAAAACCAATTTCAAAGCTTACAATCAACATCAAGCTCTTACAGTGTGACAGACTGAGAGGCTTGTATTGAGAGGAATGCAGTGTTCAGTTGAAACGTGACAGAATTTTGAGCCACTTAAACAGTGTTTCACTGCAGAGCATTTCCATTTTATCTCTTACTCTACATTTATCTGACTGCTTTAGTTACTTTATATGTTAAGATTGAAAATTATTGTAATGTCCAAAGTCCTAAATGTTCAAACAGTGCCATCGGCCCATTGGCTGTGTGATGTGGCTGAGTGGTACTGCAGGACATTTCCTCGTCACTCTGCTCCACCTTAAGGAGGCTCTCCAGGTGAAACTACTCAGCTGATTAAACTAACTCAAGCCTGGTATTCTGGAACCAGAAACTCAGTTTCCTATCTCACAGTAGATCAACTCAGCGTTCAGGATTAGATTCACGAGTTTGTTGAATCTGCTTTGTGAAACGGAGCTGTAGTCTGAAGCCTGGATTCCTGTAGAATGTGTCTGCGGCCCTGGAGGCTGCACCCTCAGGACACTGCACTCCTCGGGCTACAGCTCCTTCTATGGCAGCACGTTGAGAGCCTTTATTTCAAGACAGCACCATCCACCATGTGGCTGAAAGTGGTACTGCAGGACGGTTCCCCTTCACTCAGGGCTCCGCACGTTCCCTTTTCCTCAAGGAGATTCCAGTCAAAACACAGCCACGCTAGAATGGCTACCCACAATTCCAAGGGGCAGCGTCAGACTAACAAATCCAACAGGCTCCCATGAAAAGTAAGGCAAACAAACAGGTCAAAATGTCATGAGGCAACTGTGTTTCGCTTGGAGAACCTGTTAGGTGTGAAAAATCCTTAAAAACAGGGTCAACACCCTGGCTGAGACCGACCTGATCAATAATCTATTGTGCTGTTTCCTGCTTACATACCCTTACAGAAGTGTAGATGGCTAGCAAAGAAAAACAAGCTAAACTCTAGATAAAGGGTGTATCCTCAGCATTATCTGACTGATTTATCAACACTGGCTTGGATGTTGTCTAAACAACATTCTCTCAGTGTGATCAGAAGGGCTTTGGGGAGTATGCTGTGGCGGCAATCAGCTTCAAAGCACGTGGAAATCAAAAACCCTGGGTAACTGCAGATGTCGCTGTTGATGGACTGTGATGCAACCTTCGGGGTGAGACAGGACTGCTCCTCACTCAGCCAGATCTGAGCTCTCAAAGGGGTTCAAGGCGAGAAGGATGTGTCTGCAGAGCCGGAGGCAGTACTCTATGGACTGCACTCTCAGGGCCGCAGCTTCTTCTACGGCCGCACCTTCAGAGCCTTTTCTTCCACCTACCACAATGAATGATTGCCAAAATGGGCGATTTTGTTCTAAAGGGTGATTTCTCTCAAAACATATTTATAATTTAAAAGGCTGATCCAAGAACGATTCCACACCAAGTACTACTTCATGTCCAAATACCTACAGTTTTAAAGCCTGGATCTACTGGTATAAGACAATCCAAAGTTTTCCAAATCAAATATATCAGATCACTATATGGGTACTGTATATTCAGGTCAGTAGGTGGGATTTAAATGTGTACCTTGACCTTTATTTTAATCTGTTGACTATTTTATTTTTTCCTAAATGAATATAATGTCTTTCAATGCCTTTGTGGAGAAACTGTAAACATACAAGTCATTACACTGAAGCTTCTTCTTCACAACATGATTTGTTGTGTTTTATTTCACAGGTTCATGTTGTTGCTGACGTCGATGGTGACACAGTGAACTATGAAAATGTAGGAGATGCTGCTGCAGCGCCGCTCTGAAGAGGGAGGCATCGCAATTCTTTTCTCAATTTCTTTAGAATTTGGCAGAATGTGTACTATTACTGCAGTGAACATCAGATTAAGGAAGTCATCATGTCAGTGATTCTGTCTCATTGTGTCTTTCATGGTAGTTGGGTTCAGGAGTTTGTGTAAAGATTAGTCAGAACTGGCCTCACTTTTGTCACATCATTTGAGGAAGTCAAATAATGGCTAAAAACAAACTTCTTGCTTATATTTATGATTCATTAATATGATTAAACCTCTTTTTCTATGAATCCAAACAGTTCAGTTTTCATGATCACCAATGAATTGTGACAGTTTTCTTCACTGTTGCAAGAACAAAATAAATGGACCAGCATTTGTTACTCAACAAAAAGTGCAGCTGACCACAGGTTTCTGTAAGTATTTAAAAATAAAAAAAAGTATGATCTCAAAAACTATTCCCAGTAAACCTAATTAGGTCGTCTCAAAGGGATTTAAAAAGAGAGAGAAAAACACAAGCCCATAGAAACAACAACAACTCTTGCGGAATCACTGACATCATTAAAGCCAAGGTAGGCAAAATCTGGTAAGGACAATATAAGGTTGGTGTCCATTAAGGTCTGTGTTCACAAACCAGACTGAGGCAGTAGAAACAGATATTCTGAACAACAGATTTCAAGGTTTGCATGTAATTTGTCGATGCTGTGGTACTGAAGTAGAAGGAGCTGAGCTCTGGCAGGGAACGATATGGATACAGAAAGTGGAGCTCTGACCCAATGAGCCAATTAAACTCCTGCACACATGCAACAGATTTACATGCATCTCAAGGATGCCAACTCCAAACTAGTCCAGTCATGACCAGTCTAGTTGTAGCTTTGGCCAGGAGAGCAGGTCAACAGATGGTCTCCAACCTTCATGGAGTGTTCCCACCCTGAACCACAACACTCTCTGGTTGTTGGGTCAACCGTGGTGGCCATCTCACTGCTCCTCTCCTCCGTCTCCATCACTACACCAAATGTAGCTGGAGAGCTGTTACCAAAACCTCTCTGATGATCTTTATCATCATTTTGTCTCCAACTATGCATCAGTGTGTATGTATTCTCTTGTTTTCTGAGTGTATCTAACACTAATCTTACCTCGGTCACTCTCTCTCTGGTTGAACATCAGAAAATGTAACAGAAACACAAAACTTCTCCTAGTTTTAAACAAGTTCGGAGTAATTCTGCCCACAACAACATTGTGAGGTATTACTTGCCCTGTATGATGTAATAGACTTTAATTTGGGGTCAAATGTCTTCTTTTTGACATCGTCAGCTGAGGCATAAAAAGCAGTTCCAAAGTGTTGGATGTTTTACATGTTGTTGGCACATCCACAGGTCAAAAACACGTCACCTGACAACAAGTTAACAATGTGTGACTCAGATTCATTAGGGGGAGAGTTACAGCACTGCTACTCACTCAGTGCTGGTTTGGATACACAACATTACAATGAATATCT